CTGCCACTCGGACTCGTTCGTGTCCAAAGGACTGTACGTGCGGACATGCGGCTTCAGCGGCTGTGTGACAATTCGCCGAGGTTAAACAGGTGGAACGTGTTACGTGAAAATTCTCTGGCTCCTCGGGGATTTCTGGACGTGGGTGAATCAATCGAAACTTGGTGGATCGATTTAAAGGATGGATACGGGGGCGATTAATTAGGCGCAACTATAGGAATTCGTTAATCACTTCGTTTCGGGTAATAAGGTTTCTACGATATTTGGGGATACTTGGTGGGGGCTGGTTAATGAGTTCGAGATAATGTAAAATTTAATGATGGTTTAGGCAAGTTATCTCGATGATCGATTAGTTTCGAAGAAGTAACAATATTGGAAATATTTTGTATTCTGAAAAATGAATATTATTTGCATGGAAAATTTGATATCGAGGGAAAAAGTGATATCAAAGTTCAATAAACGACTCCGAAAATGGATATAAATTATATGTTTTCGTGATTTTTTTCGGTTTTTTCCCTAGTACGCGTAAATAAATAGAATGGAAAATAAATTTGAATCTCGATTTCGATAGTGGATGTTAAATATTTTTTTTTTTATCCAAGCCACTCGAAATATAGAAGAATGTAAGCACATATATATATATACGGATATACGTATTTGTACGTGTATTTTTAAATTTTCTACTTAATTTAGAAATTTAGAAAAAACGAAAAATAAATTGTAAATTTAAAGATTGATCTCTTTTAAAAATTGATCTCTTTAATACTGAAAGAATAAAATTTTCTCAAATCGAATTTAATTCCCACAATTTTGAATTTATCAAAATAAGCAAAAATATATAATAATATCGAATAATATAAAAAGACGGAAAATTAAAAATAAAGTTGAATCGAAAATTCAAGAAATTTTTTGGAAACATTCTAATCATTTATTTCCTTTCAACATCTCCCCTTTTAAAAGGATAAGATATTTTAGCCTTTACTATAATAATAATACATGGAAGGTATAAAATGATCAATACAGAAGATAAAATGCAAGTATCGAACAAAAGCTACAGCTACACGAGTGTACATACTCCTCTGTATGTCAGGAAATGTTTCACTTGCGAACGATAACAACATTTATAGCTAATGTTTGGCCAAACTTAGATGTTCCTCGTGGGCACAAGTATTACTTGGATCGTCAAGATATTAATAAACTCCTTCCTTCCTTCCTACACCCTTTCCTTTTCAATTA